GAAAACACCCCCTTAAAATTTCAGCTTTCTAGCTTCCCTGGCTCCTGAGTTAGCAACTTACTGGAAGAAATTTTCACGGGCCCGTGCGTGTTTACCACGCATACCCGAGACTTGGGTTTGAGCTGAATGAAACTTAGGTGGACGGAGTATATCCTCTTAAAATTACAGTCCTCTAGCTTGTCAGATCCCCGAGTTATGAACTTACTCGAAGAAAATATTGACGGGCTCGTGCGCGGGTACTACGCTTACCCTGGAGCTGGGTTTGACTTCACTAATACCCACTTGGACGGGGAATATCTCTCTAAGGTTTCAGCTTTCTAAATTATCAGATCCCCGAGTTATGAACTTACCCGGAAAAAATTTTGGCGGTCCGTACGCGGGTACCACGCCTACCCGAGGGCTGGGTTTGTCGCTCACTAATACTGGACGGGGAATACCCCCCTAAGATTTCAGCTTTCTAGCTTCTCAGGTCCCCGAGTTATGAACTTACCCGAAAAAAACTTTGGCGGGCCCGAACTTGGGTACCACGCAGGTGATAGTGCTCATTTTTAGGACTGGGGCTCGTACATGCATGTAGGTTAAGTTCCCAAAGTTCCAGCCCTGTAGCTTTTGTAGGTCTTGAGATGAAAAACCGTAACAGACGCTCACACAGACAACCCGTCGTCAATATGCGTTTTCTGCATTGCATAGCTGCAAAAAACGCATAAAAAGGTATTGTGACCCACCGCAGTTGTCCGAAATCATTTTTTGCTTTTTTCGCACCACATTTTTTACTGAACAGGTCGGCTGGGTCTGGGGATATATGTTGTGTTCCTCCTCGAATGGTGGTGTAGGGATAAAGGTGAGTTTTTTTGGGAGGAAGAAGGGCTGGAGATGATAATTTAGGTACCAAGGGGTCACAGCAGAGGGCTGATTGCGACCAGGTCTGCGAATAAACGTTTGCGTTCCTTCATAGGCGGACCCAGAGTGGTCCCCGGGGGGCGAGGGGAGGGAGGGGGGCGATTTTCTGTCTTCGTTCCTCCCTCCGCCGTTCACCGGAGTCATTAATTCTGATGTTGCTGGAAAGCGGCAGTGCTGCGAACCCTGATGTTAAGGAAGCAGCTATGTTAGGCCCACGAAATTCTTTGAAAAACTGTGATATTATTTGGTAAACTTCGAAATGATCACTGATCCAGCAGCGCATATTTTGGGAAGAGGCATTCTGGAGGCGCTCATTTATGGTAACGAAGCGTAAATCGATTCAGAGAAGCCAAACTGTTCTGTGTTTTGACTTGAAATTTGAATAGAGCTCTGTGATTCCTCTTTAACACATCATATCGCTGATATGCCTTGCAACTATTCTCGTTAGCCACCGGTTTTGAAAAGGATTCATTGTTTTCAGGTGTTGCTGGAAGCGAAATTTACAGTGCCGGGTAGTGATATTGAAAGTGTTCACGTGAGTAGGGATTCAGTGATCGGCAAAGCTGACTGTGTGTACAGACGACGAGCACATCAGGCAACGGGTTAAATGCTGCTTAGCTTGTGAACTTTTTTTTCATGATTGATTAATGTAAATATTGATTCTTTAATGTGTTTTTCAGTTTTATTATTATGTTATTCATTCAAAGTTTTATAGCTTTTAAGAATTATTGTATTGATTTTCACTGATTTCGTCCCCTGCTACCGCCGGGTCAGGTGTAATGGCTGGTTCTTCAGCTGCGCAGCTGACTACTTCTCCAGTTGTTTTGACCAGTGCTGCATCGCCTGATGTTGGTTCTGTCTTCGAAAGGATTGAATGAATCATCGGCTCTCCCGACGAAAGCATTTCCTAGGCTTCTGGGCCGTTTCAGGAAGCCTTCGGTCTGTCTCGCACATTGCTGTTTTGTCGTAAACGTTGCCAATTCTGGGTCACTAGGAAAGGACCCCGTTTCAGGAAGCCCATGGTGTGTCTGGGTGTGTGTGTGTGTGTGTGTATGTGGTGTGTATGTTTGTCATCATTTCGTTCTTTTTTTTTCTGCACCTTACATGCCTAGACAACTAGGACAGATATTTGAAAAGATAGAATATAAAAGCTGTATCCTTTCGCTGGCTTCATGGAGAATGTAAAAAAAACTGCTTGCTGTTGGGGCAATGCGTAAAAAACTGGCCCGAGACTTGTTTAGCATGCTGCATTCATTCGGCGCTGTTGAAGGAAGAATTGACTGGACCTGATTTAACAGCACGAAAAAGCAAACGTTAAGACGGAAAGACGGGCGAAAACGCGTTCTGTGACCACTGCGACTTGT